GATCTAGGAATACAGAGATAGTGGGTCTACGAAAAGAGTGCCGGTGCTCCAGAATTTGGCGCAGAATGAAGATGTGGTCGATACAACCTCGACCGGGTCTAAAACCAGCCTGGTTCTCGCGCGTGCACCGTTCGTGTGCGGCAGACAATCGGCGGAGTATGATGCCAGCGAGAAGTTTAGAGACGATTGATTAAACTAATTCCTCTATGATTTTCACAAGAGGATCTATCACCTTTCTTGTAAATCGGTATGATCACCGACTCACACCATTCAGCTGGAACCTCCTCTCTTTCCCATATTGAGCCCGGGAGTGTTGTCAACTCCAAGACTAACGCTGAGCCTCCATCCTTAAACGCTGGGAACAGCCCATCTGGGCGAGAGGTCTTATGCCTTTTGAGATAATTTATTTCCCGAGATATCCCATTTCAGATGGAGGCCTAGCATCAACTGGGAGTATTTGTCCAGTCGAGGCGGAGAGTGAGATAAGGTGTCGATGGGGGCCAATTGAACTGAGCCTTGAAATGTTCAGCCCAACGGTCAAGCCGGCGTTGCTAATCGTGAATCAGTGGTAACAACTGCACGAAACTGAAAGGAGACAAGAAATTTCATTCAAACTTTTAAGTGTGCAACGGTTTTTTTACCTCGTTTGTTTTCACTATTATTTATATCATTTTTCACTCTGATGCGCTGACAGTGAATGTCTTTGACGGAAGTGTAAGTATAGGAACTTATATAATTGCAATTGTAATTATAACTTCTGATGGCGTAACACCTACATTTCAGTGTACAAACTGGATGAAGAGAAGAAAAAAAGGAAAAGAAAAAAATTTAATCCCGAAACTTTTAACAAAGTCTGTTCTTTTTTGCCGAAATACGTTCTAAAGCGTTGAGAGATATGTTTATTCGATAAGGAACATGATAATATTGGGATCTGGTTGACGGACGGGAACAATAGAAAGTTAAATCTTTGTGTAGCGGATGTGTGATAAAAATCTTTCGAGCTAACTTTTCATAAACGACGTTGGCTCAGGTTTTTACCAACTCCTCCAACGGGACTTAAGAGACGCGATCAATAATGGTCAGTCCACATCGAAACAGTTTAAGGTTTTCCTTTAGGATTTGGGAAAAATAACAGTTAAACAATGAAGCGTAACAGGGAAAACACAAGTAAAAGAATTTAGATATAATCGATTGTCGAGTTTTGCGGATATTGAAAAAAGTTGTCAAAGTTTACTGAAGACATATTGAATGTGACAGGTCCAATGAACATTAGCATCGATAAAAATACCCTAGATATTTAATACAGTTTACCCGGGATACTGGTTCAGAGCCAATCGATACCGGTTCAGATGGAAAAGAATACCGTTATAACGTAAACAAACATGCGAAACATTTAGAGGGAATTAGAGAGTGACCGTATGTGGCGTGAAAGTGTTGAACGTTCTCTAAGTTGTCAGAAAATTGTAAAAGATCAGAAGAATCGGAGATGGCCTAACATGACACCACATCGACAGCATATTTGAAGACAAGTAGAGGCGTTAGCAGACAAGTCGCAAATATCCGTAGAAAGTAAATACGGAGAAAGGACTGCACCCTGGAGTACCCCATAATTGTTTACCAATGGTTTGAACTTCCTCCGACCCACCATCACGACGAGACTGCACCTTGACGCGGTGTGATGGCTTGCGTGCCTCCATGACCCTGCGAGCTACACAGGATGGCTCTTTACAGCCGGAGATCCAATCATGCCTGAAAGTGCATGGTTAATGGTTGTAAAAACTGAAACTGAAACCTCCTATCCAGGTTGGTGCACTGAGTTCTCCCGGAGAAATAATCTGCAAGCCAAGCTAATAACTGCCTGGGACAACCAAAGGTCTCCAGTTTACGAAGAAGGGAAGGAACTAGGAATAGAATCAGAAGCGGATGAATAGTCCAGAAACACAACGAACAGATTTCGCAGTCATTCAAGGATTTGGTAACTTTATGCACAAGTGAAGAATGTACTTCTAGCGTGTATCTGTTTGGTTTATAGGTAAACTGCAGCGGGTCCAACGGGATATCAAGTAAGGACTGAATGCTCTCGAAAATTTATTTAGAAACGGCTCTTACTTGAACGGCATTATCCAGGACAAATAGCGTGATGACATCGGTTGATGGTCAGATTAATGCGCGCTAACACTGTCCTAATCCGTGGTACAATCCGGAGTTTTGTCTTTGATCCCACATAACAATTTGATACCTTGCCAAATTCGCTTTCTGTTGTAACATTGCAGAAGCTGGGAAATGTACGACACAGAGAAGCGCTTGACTTCAGCTCTGACCAGATTGGTCTAATACTTGACAGCCGCTGAGTCTCTGCCGTTACGGACTCATAGAGTTTCAAAAAGACAGCATAGGTTATACATTTGGTTTAGTGTT